TGCTTGGATTTTTTTTTTTTGCTTCTGTGATTATTAATGGGTAGGTTGTTTGCTCATTTTTGTGTATCACTTATTTTGAAATCTTTATATATGCAATTTTTATAATTATATATGAGTTGTACCCAAATGATACAGGTACACTCTATACAGGTACAAAAAGATTTGTTCTTATGGAGCTGGCTGGCAGTGAGGGTAATGTGTGCCTTGGGGAGGGTCATGCAAAGCCTGCCCAGCTGCTCAGTGACCCCCCAACCACCTGCAACCTTTTGAAGCACTAAGTCCACAGTCCACAGTTTGAAAAATTCAGGAAAGGTGATGGCTACAGTTATTCTGTCACCTTCAAAAACATTGTTTCTTTGATGAAACAAAACACTTAACTTTGTTCTCTTTCATTTTGCATTTACTGTGATCAGCTATCTGGATTGGAAAGAAAGAAGCGTATCTTTTCAGCCACAAGGCTTGATACAAGACTTTCACATAGCTTACTTGACAAACATTTCTTGATGATGATCACCCAGGCTGAGACATTCAGGACCTTGCTGGAGGAGGTAACTCCTGAGTCAGGCTTGTGGGGAGGTTTGAATTAGTGGGGATGAGATCATGATCCTCTCTCAGTGGGATCTGTGCAGTGATGACAAGCAGAGACCACGTAATGGGTGGCTATTAAGAGTTTTCACGAACTGGAGGAGAGCCATGCAGGGTGAGATGGAGTGCCAAGACAGGGCACATGGTAGAGTAGCCCAGCAGTGTCCTCATACAGCTTAACACCAGAAACAGAAATTATCATGGTATATCTTCAATTACTGTGCTTCTTCAGGAAGATACACATTCTCGGAACATAATAGGAAGTGACTAGCTTCCAGGTTTCTTAAAATCAAATCCTTCCCCAAATAGGGCAGGATCTAAAGCAAAAGTTTCATATTTTTCCAAGGCTGTGTCCACAGGCCTTCTTCTCAAATTAAGGCAACCTATTTTTTCAGCGCTGGGTGAGAAAGTGCCTGAGATCTCTCCACCAGGAAGTCGAGTTGGCCTGGCTGGATGCTGTAGGTAGCTAGTCGTTGGTGGGAGCATCCTGCCCTCTGCTGGAGTTGGCTGGAAGAGTGAAATTTGCATTGCCTGATAAAAAATTAACATTGGGAGTATGTTTGGCTTTAACTGAAAATAAACACTTGTTTGTATTTTGATGAGCTTTAATTAACCAGGGGATGTATTTCTCGGATGATATCTTAATTCTCAGTGGATTTCCAGGTATCCAGGAAAGAAAAGTCCATTGTGTGTCATATGTGTGCCTCTTGCTCAGTATAGTGAGGTTACACTTCACCAGAATTTTTAAAGACATGTAAAGAATAAAAGCTGCATCTCTAATGAGTTTTGAAGTATTCACATCATGTTGTGATGTGCTAGAAAGAACCTCGGGAGTACCATTAGACTGCTTGGATTTATGTATTAATTCTGCAAGATGCTAAACCTCTTTGAGGCTGACCCTGCATCTGTAAAACGATTCTATGCCCCTTTTAAAGGTTGCAGTGAAGATCAGATGAACTAGTAACATATGCAAGAGAGTTTTCCTGGGCCCACTGGGCCTGTTCTAGACATGCACACCATGTGCAGATTCACAGGGGACTACAAAGTACTGAGCGTTAGGAACGTTGTAGGATTATTGATATCCTGCAATTTTGTTTTGAGTAAAATGGAAAACAGATAATAATGTTTCAAACCTAGAGAATGAAAGGAATCTTCTTAAACATGTTGAAAGAAAGCTTAATACCCTAAAAGTAATTTTTACAACAGGCTCTGGAGATAGAACAATCAGTCTACTAAGTAAACATTTATCTTCAACTGTCTACCATGTGCTATACAAAAGTTAATTTCTTACCTTTATTAGAAGAAAAATGATAAAAATGAATTACAAACCCAGTCTTTTACAGAAACTAAACTATCCTTTTTTTTGTTCTTTTCCCCTTTCCCTTCCTTCCCCTCTCTGTCCCCCCTCCCCTACTTTCTCCTTTCCTTTTTTGGGTCTGGGTCCTCTTTTATTGGTTCCTTTTGTTCTCTTCCTGTTTAATTTTAAACCTGAAAGAAGTAGTTTCTGCAAGCATTGCTGTGCTGTCTGTGCTTTGCTGTTTCTTGTCTGCCTCCAGCAACTGCACAGCTGGACGCCTTCATTACAATTGGAGGAGACGGAACACCATCCCAGCTCCTAAATTGCCCATTGTCCAAGAGGAGACAGGCTGAACGATGGTGGGGCTGTTATCAATGTGTAGTTCTTTAGTTGAAAATAATAGATTAGTTTTTAAAATAAATGACTTGATTTGATTCTTCTTGTGAAAAGCTCTGTTTAATTAAAGAATTTTTAAAATCCTGAGTGTACTGATCATCTTGCCAGCCTTAGCAAGTGCTGTATCCATGTGTTCTACAAAATTCAAGTTCTACAACTCTTAACACTAGTTGCTGAAGACATGTAGGAATAAGCACTGACCTCTGTACATGAGATATTCAGGCTTTAGTTTTGTGTGTGTGTGTGTGTGTGTGTGTTTGTATGTATGTATGAGTGAGAGACATAAGCTGGTGATAAGAAAATTAGGAAAGAAATAACTAGATTTCAGGTGGTCTTTTTTATATATATAATTGGTGGATGACAACTGAATACTATATGTATGTATATAGACTACAGTGTCAAATTTCATGTAAACAATGTAAAATGATCAGATTAATTAGCATATTGATATCCTCAAATAAATATTATATTTATATATTCAAATCAAAATTTCTCTGTACTGGAGACATTTAAAATTTTTACTAGTTGTTTTAATTAATCACTTAATCATTGTCATAATTATCTTACTATGCTGAAGTTATCTCTTCTATTCACCTGTTCCTGTGTCCATTAACTGTCCTCTTCCTGTATCTCCCCTCACCATTCCCATGTTCTGATAGCTGCTGCTGTATTTTCTTCCTTGAGATCAACTTTAGCTTCCATGTATAAGTGAGAACATATGATATTTGTCTTTCTCCCCTTATTTCTCATAGCCCAATGCTCTACTTTGCCATCTATGTTACTGAAAAAGACATACTTTTGTTCTTTTTATGGCTGAATAATATTCCCTTTGTGTATATGTGCCACATGTTCTTTACTCATTCACCCATCAGTGCATACCTAGTTTGATTCTATCAATTGGTATACTAGTGACTTTCCCATCAATGTGATGACATATCTGACCTCCGCAACTTAAAGGTGAACTTTGACTCAGTTTTCAGAGGACTTAGTCCACAGCTCGTTGGCCAAGGCAGAACTGGCACAGCAGAAGGGCAGAGGAAAGTTGCACGTTCCCTATGACCCAGAATGAGAGAGAGCATGGAGCCAGGACAAGAATACACTCCATAAGGCCCTTCCCCTGCCCAACCCCTTCTGACCAGACCCTGCCTTGAACACATGAGACTTTGGGGAGATCTAGATCCAAACTTGGATAGTGTGAACAGAGCTGCAGTGCTGTTGTTGTTTCCTTTGAATATAGCCCAGCTTTAGGCTTGCTGGGCTTTGTGGTACTTTTAGTTCTAGTGTTTTTGGGGCGCCTCCATGCTATTTTCCATAATGGTTGTATTCATTTACATTCCCACCAGCAGCACATGAGATTTCCCTTTTCTTCTCATCCTTACCTGTATTTGTTTTAAAATCATTTTGATATGTCATCCGACATTGAAGGATGACATTTGCTGTGCGAATGAAGTGTGTGTTTGTATATGTGTGTATAGTGTGAAGTCTGAGAGAGAGTAGGTCTCAAGGCAGAGGGAATGAGAAATCAATGACATGGTGTTGTGAAAATCAGTGCCGTGGCTGTGGTTAGTGATGAGAAGGGTGACATGGAAAGTTTGGGACCTAGTGAAGATGTTGTTTAACTGCTGAGATGTGGTGCTTGAGTTTCACTGGGTATGCATGTTTTTGCCTGTTAGATCACTATTATGATATGTCATTCAGTCATGTAAGTGTTTACTAGGGAGGGAAGTTGGGTCGTAAATGGTATTATAGTTCCCTGTGATTTTAAATGTAAGTTTCTAAGAGAGACTCACAGTAGGCTCTATAGTTGCTCAAGCTGGGCTGGGTTAATGACTCCCTGACCAGACTGAAATCCTTACCTTGCATCTTTAAAAGACAACAGATTGAGTTCCTTCTGATTGATCCCATGCATTACTAAAACACAATCACAAGCCTCTTTTCTTCTTTAGTTTTGGAACCCAATATTCTCTTTGTGGAGTTCATTGCCAAAAGACAAAGATTTAGAAATGATATCAATCATTTTCTGTATCTGAATTGCCATTTTGTCACCTAAAAGAAAAAGGTCAGAAAAGACCCAAGGATAAAGACTCTGCTTCCTTATCTGATTAATAATAAATGTAGATTTTTTACATAAACTGCTCGGCTTGATATTACTGATCTTAACTGCTTGTTTCCTCTAACAGTTCCACAAAGTTAAAGATTATGGTGCATTAAGCAAAGTTTATGGTGCATTAAAAAAAGACATTTTGAATTTACATTCAATTCCTATGATTATAATGAGATTTGTAGATAACTTGATTTTTTTATATGTGTTTGCTCAGCGCTTAGTATCTTGTGGGAATTCTGAAGAATGGATTGTCCTGTTAAGCAATTTGGCAAGAATAAGGTGTGAATAAGCGTAGTAAGAGGGGCAGCCTCATCCTGAGTGAACAAGCAAAGGGGCATGGAGTAATGAGACAGTCCTTTCAAAGTCCCTTTGCCTCTAGCGACCTGTGCAAAGTAGGTGCTCAAAAAATAACTTGAGAAATAATGAAACAATGAATGGGGTCCTTTATATAATGATGTTGCTTGCAATAGTTACCTCAAGTGCGTATTAAAGCAAAACTTCCTCTATGACTACTTGGTCTCATGAGTTAATGTTTACAAAGTGCTTTGAACTTCTTGGAAAAAGAATGGTGTTTTCGTTGGCACTGTATGGTGTTTGCAGTGGCACAGGAATTCCTCCGCCTTCCCTTCCTCCAGGTGCCTGAAATGTGCACCACCCTCACTCCACCCCTTCAGGCTGCTCTAAGCTCTCTGCCCAAGGCCTCCTCGCCTTCCTCCGGCAGCGCCTGCACTAGGCTCAGGTAGGGACCCAGCAAAGCGTGTAAAATTCTCTAAAGGCTTCGGAGGAGACTCTGGGGAAATGAAACTCGGGTTGGTACAAATGAGTTTTGAGGTGCTTGACCAGCTATGGAGGAACTGTGGAGCAGACAGACTCATGAGTTTCCTAGATTCTGAAGGGGAGACAGAACTGTCATCTGGCAATTGAGAACATTTACCAAAACTACTGGCTTCTTCATTTTAGGTGCATAATACAAATAATTCAAAACCTTGACAAGTAGCAGGCAGCAAAATGTTTTAGTTCTATTAGAAGGAACACGTAAGATAAACCAGATTTCTTTTGTATGAGCAAAATTTTCACTATTATGATTTCTTTCTCCATAATTTCTTTCTATTTTATGGTGGCAAATAAAGGGATTCTATTTCACAAATGGTTAGTCACGGGTGTGATGCTTTCCAATGTGTTTGTTACTATTTTTAAAATTGTCTTTGTATTTAGGAGTCCAATAATTAAACAGTTCAAATATGATTTGGAGAGCAAAAACTGTTTTCTATGGAAAATGAATGTCTTTTATGAATAACTTCAAGCAGGAGAGTTTTTTTTTTTCTTTTTGAGGTTACAACATATTAACTTTCAACTGATCTTATACAATAAATATCTTAAAGTAATACAGGGAGAGTCAATTACAAGCTCAAAATAAAGAATGAATCTGAGTGGCAGATTTTGCCTTGAGCAGGAACAGTTTCTATTTCCATGACTTTTTGTAGTGACTTGTTTTCCAAACTAGATCATGAGGCTTTCCGTGAGGGTGGGAAATTTCCACAATACCGTGTTTCTGTGGTCATTGCTTTCCAATAGCACCATTTTCTCTCTCTAAAATTTGTTTCTAGGGACTGGAATGAATATCATGTGCACAAAAACAAACACGATATTCTGTTTAAAAAATCATGAAAAAGAAGTCTATTTTTCTTCAAACAGAAATTCAAGCTTGGCTTTAACAGAACAGCATGAAGTTAACAAAAAGTAGGACTTTAGATTTTTTTTAAATAACAAAAATTAGACAAAGAAACTCACTTCCAATTGAAAGCAAAAAGAATACATTTTGTTGTTAGATTATAGTAGCATTTAGAACTCTGAAATACTGCAGTCCTCCTAAAAGCCACTTGTAAAGCGTTTCTCTGCGTGTGACCCTGTATTACAAAATGGATTCATTTTTAATTTGACTCACTATAGACTAAATTCCCTATATACACAGGGCTTGGTAATCACATAGCCATCATTACATGTTTGTTTTGTTTTTCTTCTCTCTATTTGTGTCTCACTGTCCATGTCTTGAAATAAATAGGTAGGAGCTTGGTTTGGGATAGATGAAACGGGCAGTTTGGGTTAGAGTGAGATTGTGTTTCCTTTTCCAAGTGTTACTGTCCCATTGTGTTGCAGGGGCTGAGAACCGTGTGAGTGGAGTAGAGGAGCACTTACAGGCTCTGGCTTGAAGACCAGGAGTGTTCACTTATTGAGGTTTGCTAGCAGCAGTTCTATGGTAAGTCTGGGTTTGAAGCATGAGGGTTGATTCTCATTGTGCATACCTTTCTTTGACCTGATAGAGAAGAGAAAATAAACAAATGTGAAGGAAGTGCTTATCAATGTCATTGATTATCATGAGACCTCTTCTTTTAGTACACAGTCAGTGGATTTGATGGTGGCAATGTCTGTTAAGGCAGATGTCAAGTTTATAACATGTAGACACGTTTTGTAATAGAAAAGTTTAACAAATATGTGTGTGACTTCATTTCAAGAATGTTAAAGAGAAGAAGTTCATTTAGAAAGCTGAAAGTTCTTACTAAAAGGAAAGAAGGAGCCGATGAGAGGCTAAGTGTAAATTAGCAAAGAACCAGAACTCAAACATAATAGTCTAATGACAAATTCAGGTTAAGGCAGCTGCGAGAGAGGGTGGGGTGGAAACCTATCATTTTCTTGTGTGTATGTACTCCAGCATTTTTAAGGCCAACAATTCTTGACCTTTCAGATCTGTGTCATCCTCAAAAAATAATCAACAATCATTCTAATTGAAGGGGGTATTGTTTTTTGTCATTGCTACTTAAAAGGTCAGAAAACCAGTTACTTTTGAATGCTTTCTGTGAGACGGGAGCTAATAAAGTGATCGGAGGTCAGCCAAAGGCCGTTGAAATGTAATCAAATAAATCACCAACTAAAAGGTGAACTTTGAATAAGACTCAAAGTATTTCCCCAAACCCAGGTTCAAGTTAGAATTACACTTCTGAACTAGACCACCAGGGGTCAGAGCATTGTCTCTAGGAAGCTTTCAGTTTTTGCACTGGTGTCTAGGAGGAAAGACACAGTGTAGTGGATGTTGGATTCTTCTGTGTGTGACCCCCCAATCCCTGGAAAAGGTTCAACTTCCGGTCCTGTGTCTCACCTCTGGTGCTTTTGATTTAGCAACTCCAAGGCAGGTAGGTGTGTGTCTCTGGCAATTTTTTTTTTTTTTTTGCAAGAATTTCATTTTTGATGTAAAGTTTCTGGAGTTTCTCTAACTTGTTAATTTCATTAGAGGGCTGTTAGTGTGAGGTTCCAGGACCCTGCACCTGAGAGAGGCTCAAGGCAGCCAAAATGGATAGGATGCACCTGTGTCACAGGGACCCACATCTGAACATCCTGTCATTTTGGACATGGTGCTTTCTTCTCTAAGAGTCAGTTCATCCTTTTTAAAAGAGGAGAACAATATTGTCTACCTTAGGGGATTTGAATTAATAAGGCATGAAAAGTGCATTAGCAGGGTGACTGGCACACAATAAAGCAATTAGTAAAGGTTACCCCTTGTGGGGAGGAGCGAAGGATGTCATTGAGGTCCTCTGTAAACAGAAAAATGGTTACAGATAGAGGCCAATTGTTGCCAGCTTGCAGATAGTTCTTGGGTCTTGAGGGTCCAGGACCAGTGTCTGCAGGTAGATTTAGACTACGATGAATAAAAATAAGAATAGGAAATATACTTTGTCACTCTCACAAGCCTTTTTTTCAAGAGTAGTAATGAGCAGCCCAGATGGCACAGTTAATTGGAATTATAATTGATCCCACAATAGTATTTAAGTCAATAGTTTAATTGATTTTCCTCAGGAAAACCATTATGAGAACTGCTAAAAAAGAATGAAGTGAAATGCATTAAATTCTGTGATTTGTTTGTATCTGCCACTCACCCGGTGTGGAAGTACTGAATGAAAAAGAAAAATAGTCAAAGAGAGGAAAGGAGCAGTGATTAAAATGATCAAACAGGCTGAAATTAAATGAAATGCTTCTCTGGTGGTTCAGTGTGATGCCAGCTCACACATGACTGATGCCAAGCGCTCTCCCTGAAAAGAAAAATCAGGAGTAGAGGAAACAGTACTGGTGGCCTATATACCTTTCTTAAAAACACAGATGAAATTTGGAGTGCATAGATGTATGTATGGCATGATAGTTACAGCAAAAATATGATGCGGGTGAGAGGGGTGAAGTGAGATGAGACCGTCATTTCAATCCAAACCAGTCAGCCTCCCTGTCCTTATCTTCTGGGTTCCCCTTTAGTCCAGATCCACGGTAATATGACTCATACATAATGGGACAAAACACAACTTTTTACTTTATATTTTTTCTCATTGGCAGAATAGTCCGTAAACCAGGACACCTAAGTTATCACCAAACGCTATTTTTGAAGCATTTTCTTTATGTTGAACCATAATTTCTAGGTTTTTTCACCATATGGCAAGTATAAATATACTTTGACTACATCTCTAGATGTAACTGATGTCTTCTCAATAAATAACTGTAATAATAGAATTACTAATGGTGAATAAATGATGAAGAAAGTAGTGACAAGAGTCATCATTTTTTAAATGAACTGCCACCTGGTAGGTCATATTTCATCATTAATCATTACGCTAACCTGTTGGGAGTCATCACTGTTATGACCATTTTTCTTGTGGGTTCTGAGATAACTCAGAGGTAGAAAATACGGAACTTTTTAAATGAAATATTCTTTTAGCATTTCACTAATTTATTCCAAGTTACTGCTTGAGAAACCTAAAAATATAATGGAAAGATAATAAAATTAGAAATCCAAGTAATCTGAATTTAACTTTTCATGTACTGTTTATGGTGAGTGATCTTGCAAAAACCATAAAGCAATCTCTTTGTGTCTCAATTTCATTAGTGAAAATAAGATTATGACAACTACTTCGTAGATATGCTTTTATAATTGAGTAAAGTGCTTGAGAAAGGACTGGAAAATCTCCTGGGCGATGTCGTCCCAGCCTCTTCCCTTCGTCCTGTGTTTCTGCTCCCAGTGTTTCTAACTCAGCCCACGTGGTGGACGGTGGACGCACAACATCTCACCTTTCTTAGTGAGCATTATTTCTCCTATTTTGAGAGGCTTGTACCGAATATTGCCTACCATTTTAGCCTTTCTTGAAAACATTAGGTATTATTATCATTTGTCCTAGTCTTTGGTAAGAACCATAACATCATATTATTTTATTAATTTGTTATATATGGTTTATTACTTTCCTCTAACGTCCTCAGATGAGAAAAAAATACCATGAAAACTGTTATGAATATGGGGGGCAATGTGTGACATCTTGTCTTGAGAAAATAAAATTTTAAACTTCTTTGAAGAAACCTCCCACTGTTAAATCTATGTCTATCATAGGCTTCCTAATAGTTTGTGACTCAATTTAATTATAATAATGCACCAAAGAAAATTAAATTGAAGACTATTCATCAAAATACTTGATCAATATACACAGTAGAGTGAGAATTTGAATCCAGGTTTTTTTTTTTACACTTTAAAACATATTTCTACTCCTGTAACACACTGTACATCTGTTATTTTGAGTGTCATCAATTTTAATCCTGTAGAGTTTGCTCTTTGATTTAGAGTATCTTATTTTTTTAATGTGGATTTTATATTTAATTTTCTAGTTTATATTTAATTTCCTAATAGTAAGATCAATGTTATTATTGATGTGTTTACTATACTTTTCTTGGCCTATATATTAAAGTAGCAATATTTTTCTCCAAATAATTAAATTATTTGTCAAATGTCCCTTTTCCTTGGGCAGACACCAGGATCTTTTGGTCAAATAACAACAGCAACATCAACAACAGAAAAAACAGAAAAATCAGTCATATAATAGTTTCAATCTCAATCCAGTTTAAAGCTCTCCCCTGCAAATAATTAGTCAGGTGTAAGGTTTTCCAGGCGGAAGAGAGGGGTGTCGTTTCCCTCTTTGGGTATAGTCTTCTCCTCCTCCTCCTTCAAGGGTTCTACAGTTTGAGGTTGTTTGGGGAAGAAAAGAGAGTATAAAAGGACACTTCCTTCACATTCGACTGGGTAGTTGCCATGTGTCCTCTGTGTAAGTGTTTTATGGTGTCTTGGGCCGAAGTGGCAGGCTGATGTCCTCTTCATGTAAGGCTCTGCATACGAGTTCTCAAATCTACACGGCCTTGGAAGCCTCCTCACTGCACAGATGGCAGAGCCAGCTCCAGTAACACCTCCCTCGTGAAACTCCCCCACCTCAGACATCCTGCTGCCAGGGCCCTGTGAATGGAATACGTCAAGGCAGCACAAACAGCTATTTTTTCCAACTATATTTGGCTGGACACAAGCCTGTAGGTTGCCCTGAATGTGGGCTCTTTCCTGCGTTTCTTTTACCTGTGGAGGATGGATTGGCAAGGCCACTGCAGGTGAAGGTATCAAAGCTGAGAATAAAATTTTAACTTTTCCTCCCACTAGGTAACACTTTCAGGCTTTAAGAGTATTCTCAGAGCGACCTTTGCACTTGGTTGAGTCGTGCGAGGTGAAAGGGACATGCTTCACTCCCTCCTCTCACCAATAGAAGGGGATGATTTTCCCCTTCTATTTCTCCACCTTCATCTTCTTTTTAGATTTGACTAGTGAGGGAAGGGGCACAGTTTAAGGTGAAATTTGAGAATCATTTCCCTACTGCGTACTAACTCTTGAAGAAGATAGTTGACTTCAGTTGTTACCACATGTCTTGTTTTATTCTTGACACTGGGCTCCTAATTGCTAACTCTTGTGTAACTGGAAGGCATGCATTCAATAGCTTGTTACATTTGCATATTTTACAGTGCAAAAACTGATATAAAAGTGAAAATCTAATGAAAAAACTGTATCCAAAATATGCAAAGAACTCACAAAATTCAACAATAAGAACACAGACCACTTGTTTCATTGTGCAAAATATGTGAACAGGTGTTTCATCAAAGAAGAGTAAAAGATGGTAAATAAGTAAATGAAAGCCAGTGTACCCTCCCACCAACAGTGGAGAAGGGTTCGTTTTTCCCATGGCCCCTTCATGATTTTTTGTTGGTTGATTTCTCGGAGATAACCATTCTTTATTGGGTGACATGTAATCTCATTTGCATGCCTCAAATGACTAGTACTATTGAACATTTTTTCATATATTTATTTGCCATTTATATTTCTTCATCTAAGAAGTGAATAAAACCATTGTGGAAATCAGATTC